CACGATTTTTGAAAAAACTATCGACTTTGGAAGAGAAATAAGTATTACTGAAAATGAATGGGTAAAAACTAAAAACGATAGGAAGTTCAAGTTTGCCGTAAAAAATAGAGGAGAGTTTTCAATTGATCAAGGTTTAAAAAGGGGTAGATGTGTATAATTTGTAGGCACTTCCGTTGCATTTTTAAGCAAAGTGCGTTGGATGGCAGGAATTTGTTACACGGTGTAGGATTCTGCAGACATGTACATATGAAGGGAAGCTACTTTCAAAAACCTACCGTGAAAAATCGACATCTGAATTCCAGTACTTTTTGTATTTATATATATAATGTTAAATTTTTTTATATATTCTCATATTAATTATGGGAAAGTTCTTTCCAATTGTCTTGTTTTAAACAATTTCGGTGTTTAATACACGAATACAATACACATTTTATTAGTTAGCTTTTAGATACATTTTGTAAGATTGAATAGTTCGCCTGAACCCCTTTAGATAGTCACATGACTTCAATTAACTCTTTGATTACGTTTTAAATTTTCGATGTCCAATAGTTGTGTAAGTTGTAATCTGCGAGATTATTTGATCGAAGCCATAGAAAACTTATATTCTTTTCATTATCGCCTTTTTATACGGAAGTGAATGTTGTACGTGTCATAAATTTTTCCAATAATAAGTCCAATAGGAAAGAATGGTATCAAATGCTCATAAAAATAAGAGGACTCGCTGGTTACATACAAATATGCTTTTCAAATTCATTTATTATAGGAAATTTAATCCTAATTTCAAAATGATTAGTATTTGTATTAGACATATTTACATTGGCAATAATCATGTATTTCTATTTTAAAAGGTAAAATGATTTTACGGAAAAGAAAAATATATCTAATAGAATGAATACGGAATTATATTAAATGAGCATTATATCTACTTCACAAAATTATTTTATATTATATTTAGTAAATGTATATGCTATTCGGTAACATAATCGGTTTAAATTATATGCTTCGCGTCTATTTTTATCGTATATGTGAGTCATACATACAAATATTAAGCAATTTTTTAATAAAGTTTTATTTGAATGATACATAAATAATAATCTGTGCACTCAAAGGTAAGAAAGAAAATTTGTAAAAAACAATGTTATGTTTAAATGTACGTACGTTTTGATGTAACATACACATACTCTATAACTTGATACAAATATTCATTTCCTTTGGTACGATTTGATCGATTTTGTTACTGTTTTTCAATGTTTCATTCCTTGCCAATGCGATAAGTAACAGGCTGGATGCCTCGAGTTGTATTCAGTTCGAGTCCTGTTGTAAGAATTTCGATTTAAAACTTGGCTGCCGCCTTTAACATCGTGTACCGAATACGTAGTATGCTTTTACAAAGTTCTTTACGGCACATCTTTAAAGCATGCCTAAAAAATTCTGACCTACTACACGTGACCTAATGAGGATAGAAACGGGTTAGAATCAAATGCAATGAAGAAATTCGTAGCATTCCCAGTTCCTCAAGAATGTTCTTATTAAAAGTTGAAGTCAGGTCGCTTCGTGTTATGAATTCTTGACGTGCGTTATTCGCTGTCGAAGATTAATAGAGTTTTCTCTGCTCGTAAATATAGAGGGCCGTCTACATCTATGGTTCAAAATACATTTGACGGTTTATTTATTGTGTTCAGACCGGCTAAAATTGGATGACTAACCATCAATAGGTATGTATCTCGCAAACGGACTTTGAAACATAGAAACTGAAGATGTTGGTCTTACAAAGATTAATTCCTTTAATTTAAAATAAGATGTAGATATACGATTCATCACTATTTAGTCGCCTATTAAAAAAATGTTTATTATAAAAGTAAAACAGTGAAAAATAACGTTGGTTGTATGCCTCCGAATTGTAATTTTCTTAACGTTGTCGCTAAGAAACGACGTATAATTTATGGTAAGAAACTCCTAAGCGTTTAACTTTTTATGACAGAATTTTTCATTCGTTAAATTGTTATAGTTATATATTTAATAAATGCCATTGTTTTGTTATCTGAACCTCAAAGAACATAGTGGTCAGTAGAGTCAACTACTGAATCTTGTTATTCATGTTATTTTTACAAGTTGACAAGAGTGACAGATGTATCAATTACTGAGATATATAACGTAAAACTGTTACGTCAATTACGCATATTAGGGAACTAAGGAATAAGAATGAAAAATAATATTTTCATGTCTTTATAGAAAGTTTCTACAAGAAAGGTTGAAAATTACCTATAACAAAGGTAAATTCGAATTATCAGTTTTTGTCCTATTTTTCCTACTTAATGGTAAGTAAAAATTCTGAAAAAATTTTCACATATTTGTGATATAGCAGTGTATTGCCGAGAATTTTTAGAAACTTTCCCGTTTCAAATTTGTAAAAATGAAAACTTCAAAAAAATATAGTAAAATATAAAGGCGTTGATTCAAAATCGGCCAAAATTACCCGAGACCGATTTTCCTGAAACTGTGTATATTGATAGTACTTTGGACACTAATTTCTAACACTGATTTCGTGCAAAAGCAGTTTTCTTGGACTTCAAGGTCACCGGGGGAGAGGGTTAAATTTATTATGTGTCGTAACTTTTAATGAAGACACGACATCGACACGAAACTCATACCAAAAAATCATAAAAAATTCCAGCTTTCCGACGGTGTATAAGTTTACCTAACCAAGACCTAACTAACGGCTTGTTAAAAAAATTAAAAACTTTGAACCATTATCCTTGGTTCGGTATAAAAATATCACACATTTTGTCAACACTTGATTTCTCTCTCGGAGTTCTAGGCGGCTTCAGCCGAAGGAAATGTTTGTTCCTTTTAGTCCTTCGATTCTACGTATTAATAGGAGAATCAATAGTTACGTTTCGGCAAATCTGAAAATACTGAATGTCTCGTTTCAACCCATTAAATACTGTCGTGAATATGAATCGAAATAAATTGAAGGAGATACGTTACCTGTTACGTGTATAATGAGGTATAAAATAAAATAAGCAATACCTGCAAGCTGGTATAGTTACTGTAAAATATAACCAATGTGTTTCACTGTTTCAAAACAATAAAATTGATAACAATAACATGGCTGTGTTATATACAGTGTACATACAATCATGCGCGTCCCGACTTCTACTCACATTTTACTTTATAACTCAAAAACGAATAATTTCCCCAAGATTTGACAAATACTATTCAAAAGGGCATGAAACGTACTATTAATGCAACGTTTTTGGTTAGAATCAGGAGATCCTTTTTTCGCGAATTGCACTTTCTTTGAATTTTTTTCATCTTGACAAAAAAAGAGAAGAGAAAAAGTAATAATTTGGAAAAGATGCCAAAAATATTAGTGTTTATACCTTGCATGGAATAAAAACACTATTTAAAGTTATTCCAACATAAAGAAAAAAGACAACTTTTTCTACAAACGAACATTTAACCGATTGAGTGTCAAGCGTTGCGGTCGCGATTCTACGTTAGACTCTAAAAGTGCCACCCTATCGGTTCGTAGAATCAAATGAAATTTATTTATTTGCTTTCCTTCTAATTATTTATTTTTATTTTTGTTATTACCTGCTTAGAAATGGAAAAGCGATGCGATCGCACTATTTACAATTGTTTAGTGTAAAAATAGACAAGCCTACACTCAAGCGTGGTACTCAAACGGTTAACGAATATTGCAGGTACGTTTTAAAACTTTCACATAAAGTTTACTGAATTATAGACAAAATGTGGTTTCACGTTGCAAAATTTTGATGCACATCTGTTCTACAATAATAGTTGAAGTAGAAAAGTTGTATAACAGTACAAAACCAAAAATTTATTTTTCTGTCAAATGCATAGTCCTCGTTGATTTCAGGCCACTATATTTTTTTTATATAAGTTAATAGTTTTATTTATTAAAAATAAAGATTTTATACTTTTATATGATTTTAAATCAGTGTCAGCTTTACCTCTCTATTTGAGCGATACAGATACTTCAGACTTCCTGAAAACCTTATTTCCTTCAATTTTTTATTACTAAAACATAAAAATTAAACATTTTATCCAAAATACAAAACAGTTTGTCTAAAAACTAAACCTAGTTTTATCCTACTTTTCTTTATTACTAAAATCTAGAAATACGTGTACGATTAACTGACAACAACTTTTATGAAATGGACTGTTTAAAAATACTCTCTTAACTGTTACCGGAAAGATTTCCTCTTCATCCAAAGTATTTCCGAAATGTTTAGTGTGAATACTTCTTAAATCTTTAAAAAACGTACTATAATGGATGGTAACCCGTTAGGAAGAGGTAAACAGAATAATAGGTGGAAGATGACAAGGGCGGATTACGCAAGCAAGGGGTCCCTGATAGTACTACGTACAGAGCCCCTAAAGGAATTACCTGTGTGCTTCCTTATTAGTATACTATTTTTTTATGCTCAGAGTAGGTATATAATACTCTTTGTTTTCTCATTCGTTTTACTCCATTATATTGAGAATATTACAGTATTACAGGATAACAAAATTTCACAAATATAAGACACAAACAACGCATAAAGAACTTATTGTTTTACATAGAACAAAATCCAATTTGAAACACCAGTACTAATTTCGGAATCTAAATTATTTGCATAACGTGGGTCGATAACAATTCTGAAAATGAAAGTTGGCATATACGATGGCCGATATTAAAATATTAACGAATAATACGGTTATCTTTTTTTATTAGAAAAAATTGAAAAATTATACTTCGAACTTGGGATTTCTGGCTGCCGCCAGGTTCACGGACCGCTTAATTCACCCTTGAAAGCTGATAAGAAGAAAGCAGTAAAAACAAAATTTCATCGTAGGAATAAAATTTACGAAATTAGCATGTTTCGTCTGCTTATAATAGAATTCGGAATAGACAGTGATCATTTACAAATTTCGCGAGCACTTCTAGAAAGGTTGTCAAGACAAACCCAGACTTACTTTTGTGTGGACGTTCGGAAAGAATTTGGTTTTTCCTCTTAATTTGTCTCGTGTAAACACACGTCTTACAGGTACAAGTTTGGATACACTTAAGGTCATAATCGTTCGTACAACGGCTGAGGATACATCTTGAAATTTTTGTACCAGAGAAGCATTTGTATCATATAGGTCATATACTTAGTTTTAAATTTTGATAATATTACAACATGTCGTATGTGTTCATTATTAACGTCATTCGAAGTTATATCCCATATTATGTAATTACATTTATAGAAATTCATGAAAAATGGACAACACAAGTGTGCAAACAGTGTTGGTGAACGAGTAGAAATTTTGCGTGACATAAGCGAAAACTATAATCTTCTGTGGATAAGAAATAAGGGAAATCGTATGCGTATGGTGCCAAGTACCTACTACGAAGATGGTAAGTACAAATACTACTGTCATATTCAATACAGGAAAAGTTCATACTTGTGACTGATAAGTTGTGAGTAATGAAAAAACGTTTAGTTTTTACTTCTTTTAAGGTATGTAAATATATATATATTGTTGAACGCGCACGTGTCGCGATCGGACTTTGTCAAAAAGTCTGGCAAACTTTGTAATTCCAAATGTCATAACAGTCTAATATGTCTAAATAAGTAAACTTAAAATATTTAATAATTTGTATTTGGACAAATGTTTTTTTCTCTAGAATATGGGTTTAGTTTGTTTTTGATATGTAACTGTTTTCTATGAGTTCTAATAATAAAATTATTTTCTCTACTTAGGTCTTTCATTTGACGAGACATATCAGTCCCTTATTCAAATTTCGTTCAGGCTACATCATTGTGATTTAAAATACCCATGTATTGAATTTTTAATTGTAAATTATAAAATATTGTTATTTTCAGCCTCTTGTTTCATAGTGTCCAACGAAAAACTATCCTTCTGACTAGTAACTACTCAAAAAACTGAGCTGTATTCTACTGGCTCAAACGGTCATGATATTTATTACATTCGCCATTACGAGTTGAGAATTATATAAACTCACCGGTTAATTTGATAAATATTCAAGAATTCATCACATTTACCAAAATTAGTGGTGATTATATATAATAACCGACAATTATACATAATCACCGAATTAATCACATTTACTGTAACATATATACTACTCGACACTTCAATACGTAGCAAGGATATTTTTCAGAATTATTACTGAATCCATCAAGTATTTTACGCAATTTTAAAAGTATGCCCTTAGATGTTTGATTATTTCTTGCAACGATGAAAATACTTGACAAAAACAAAGTAACTGCACTTGTAAAATTAAAATAAATTGATGATGACAAGTTTTTCTAATCGATTGTTAAGAAAATTAATTTTCTGATCATTCATATTACAGAATTTGGGTGGTAAACGATTTTCTCGATTTTCACAAAGCCACATATGTTATGGAATTATATGTGAGAAAAATATCATTCTCTTTTATATAGTTTTTAAAATCAATTGCGAAAAAATGTCGGTACCGCTACGTTAATTCTGGCTTATAGACATGCCTAAACATGACCTCCGGTAAAGGAATCGCTGTTGCCGACTGTCAGGTAGAGATGATACAACAGCGACATCAGCTTAGTATCTATGGGGTGTACAGTTTATGCATAAGTAGAAATGAGTTTTACAAATACTTACAAGCTGGATACTGGTTCAGTAGGGCTGGCTTTTCTGGAATAGAGTGCAGTGAGATCAGAGCTTGAAAAAACCTTTCGGTCTGAATCTATAGTCTCCTGGGCAGCAAAAGCTACAATAACGGATTATTTTTGGGACATTCTATAGATACTGAAGCCGATATTACTATTCATTCGACGACTCACCGACGATGATTATGTATATAGGTAAGTAAATACTACCACATATACTGTAGGTATATACATACTACATATAATCAGCGAGAACCGTTGCATTAACCCTCATTGTACCATGTATGGGTCCTTTCAGACTCTGAGGTGATGACTATTATTTTACTTTACAATATTTCTATTGTTTAATTGTTTAATTAACATAGTATTCCTTAGCAATACGAAGAATGCAAGAAAATAACAATATATATATATATATATATCTTGAAAATACAGTGTCAATAAAGTCTGATTACACTGATCAACGTATGCTTTGTCTCAAAAGATTTAATGGGCGATCTTAATAGTATTTCTTATCCTAAATTCAAATATCTGATTCGTTTTACTCCATCGTTCTCAATTCCTGAGAAACTCAATTCTGAAGAAAATTTAAATTTTCAATTTTACACATTTTTTGTGTCTTTATCACGAAAGGCATTCAAACTTTTCTTGCACAGTATTATTCTATGAAACTTTTTCAACAGAATGATGTATATTTTTAGACTATTATAAACATTTAATCATCTTTAAACAATGCTTACAGGCAAAACGGCACCCGAAAACTTCTGTGGATATTTGTTAATTTATCTTAAAAGGTAGATATGTTTCTCATAGAAATCGTTGAAAAAAGTTTGAAAATAAATTTCATTTTCAGTTGAGAAATGGAATTAATTGCGCGAAACATAAGATACTAACAGTGTTAGACATAACTTTTTACGTAGATTGTTTTACGTAGTTCGTTGCTGAGGAGAAGGCGCGAAAAAGGTACAATGTGTGATTGGCCGAAGCAGTCACACACACACAAGTCTGTTGCGTCTCGCGACGCACACACCGAAAGATGCCACTTACACCTGTGCCGTCCCACTCGTCTTCTCCACAACAACGAACAGTATATATTTTTTTCGAAAAGATTTTCAAACTAAATTTTCCGGAAAATTGAGGACCGCCATAAATTAGGTGATTAATTAGGTATTATGATCTCTAAATATGTAAGATTATACGAGTTATTAAACATTTAAACTACGTGACTCTAGAAAACTTTGCGTAGTGTTATTAAAATCACACATATCAAACCTTGTAATACAAAAAAGAGTAAAACTTATAGACTATAGACATAATTCACATCACATTATCAAGCTTGATTGAAAAAGAAATAAACAAATTAACAAATATCCACAGAAATTGGTGCGTTTCAGTTGTCGTTTTGCCGGCATGTTCAAAAGGATCCACAGATATGTTGCGCAAGAAAAACTTGAGGTCTTTCGCAATTAAGATATAACAGATGTTTGAAATTGAAAATTTGAATATTTTCAAAATTGAAGACTGCTGCAAAAAGGTGGCAGCTCTATTTTTGACACAATTTTTTGTTAAATACGTAACTTCGCTTTTAAAAATGCGATCTTTCATGTGATATGAAAAAAAATTAACTGTAGAGAATTTATTATTACCATTAATAAATTATATATATTGATATTATATTTATATTGTACGATTACATAATTTATATTTATTATTATTATTTATTTATAACTGTTTTTGTTTATGTGAAAATGATTTCACACTATAAATTAAATTTCCTTAAAACATTATAGTAAAATATATTCTGCTTTTAAACTTTATTTCTTTAGTTGATATTTACTAGTTTTTTCTACTTTGAGGCAAAAAGGAAGCAGTTCCAATATGTAAATTGTATTATATTTATTGGAACAATAAGAAAGATATGGATTCCTTATTCAGTGTAAAAGATTGTTGATAAAAAAATTAGTTGACCTTAAACTAACAGCACATTTGAAGCAGTACCTATTTTTTAATTGATTTTTGTTGATTTACTAAAAATACCTGAAAATGGGGCTGACGCGTTCTTGTAGCAAATCCTCCAATAAATTTTCTTAAAAACAGAGGACGATGGGTAAAAACGGTTTGCATATTGTAATTCAACAGAAGAAATACTACTAAACTCTCATTAAACCATTTAAAACAAAATAAAAATGTTATATTTTATAGATCAGTGTTACGGATCCCTTTGGACACGCGTGGTTTGCACGATCGCCAGAATCACCATACAGTAGCCGATTTGACCATTTTAGCTAGCTAAAATTAAAAACACCTATTATATACTGAATCTTGAATCTTATATATATATATATATATATATATATATATATATATATATATATAAATAAAATATTGTAAAACATGATTAATTCGTATACAAATAAATAATCAATCCTTGGAATTAAAACATTAAATTAAAACGATTAAACAACAAAAGCGAATTTTTCTTCTCTCCGACAAATATTATACCTCGTGTTAAACAAAAAATTATCATCTTTTTACACCGAGTACAGTCAACACAAACATCGAAAGAATTAAATGACTTGTTTGAAATAAATTAACTCGATGAGATGAGTGTAGTAATTGTGATTTAAATATATTGCGTCACTTGGAATAAAATTTAATGAATACCTCTACGAAAAATGTGTCTCCTGATTAATATCGTATAAAATGAACACTTGTATGGACTTTGTAATGAAAAATGATCGTCATTGTTTTTTGTTCGAATTACATAGATACTTATTTTCAAATATAATATAATATTGTACATTTGGTATTAAAAGTTTTAAAAAAATAAGTATTACAGCATATGTTTATTTATTTAAAGAAAGAGTAGCTGTAAATTGCCACATATTACTTCAAGTATTTTATTTTGTCATAGTTTTTCGTGCATATTAGAACGGATTTAGAATATGCGAACAAAAGATTATTTTGCTGGTTGACATCTACGATGAGTCATATGACGAACATAGTTGCCATATGAGTCAATACTTGTTGAATTTCCAAGAATTTCCGATAGGATACGCTGTATTGAACATGAATTTAACGCATTCATTATCGTACGAATTCCTCGAAGGTGATCTCTTTGGCGTCTTACATACGCTTCAAACATGATCGACCTTGCATTCAAGATGTCAAAAATAAAATAAACTATGGTAATACTTATTATACTAACCAAATATTGCATGATGAAGGTAGATAGGAATAACCAAGTATACTTTTAACTGTTTTACAGTGTTTCAAATATGAGTGTTAATATTAGGGTTTTAATTTCATCTGAATTTTAAAATATTATATACACCGTTCCGACGTCAAGATTAAAACGTTAAATTTATTGCAAATTCTACTATAATTTAAAGATCATACTCAAATAAAAAGGGCTAAAAGTGTCCCCAAATCAAATCAACTATCGTATATACCATTCGATAGATCTCTCGAAGAAACCCCTTTGTACCAAGTTATAAGTTCCTACCCCTACTAATAGGATAGTTAGAGGATAGAATGCTATGCACAATTTATATTTGATATTTTATCTTCTGTCTGATACAAAATTATAAAAAAATTCATAGTTATTCTAGGTATGGATATGCATTTCTGGGAATTTTTTCAGAACTTTAGGCTGCAAAATCAATTTTTAAAAATTTCCAGAAAATGATAAATGTTGATTTCTTATTTACATTATTCGAGAACTACTTTTATATTTCCATGATATTACCTTTTTATTATGACTATTAATAACCTACTTTTCCATAATTTTCAGATTAGGGAAACGTAGTTAAATAAAATAAAAACTGATATTGTTTTATATTATCGACGGTATTATGCATAACATCATATTGATATTTTTATAGATATTGTAATTTTATTTAAAAATATTATACTTAAAAATGTTATAAACCGATATTTCATTGCTTTTCGCAGAAGGTCAGTGTCGCTGTTGCAAATAAAGTTTACATCGGTTTTCCACAACATAATTCCTCTTTCTCCCATTTGTTTGCGGCTTAATATAATTTCTTCCCTTCTTAAATCATGGAAGAAATAATTTCACCCATCTGGGCCGTCCAAATTGAACTTTTTTCATTGTTAAATATTACTTTTCTTTGTAGTTTCTTCCAATGTATACGATCTTTGGCAAACTCTGAGCGTTTCTCTTTATGTTGCGATGTTAATGGAGATCGGTGTTTCAATTTAAACGTTTTAAATGCTTACAAATCTTTTAAATTATCTCTTATCTTGTCGTTGTGTTAGCACACATGGACGTCCACTATGTTTTTTTACCGTAATTTCGATTAACTAATTTCGCAAATTTTAAAGTGGAATATCTCCTCGGGTCGAAATAACAAAATTCTATTGATTTCGCTTTAGTTCAGAGTCTTCTCTCGATCCACTTTTAAACGGAAATTGGAAATAAAGCACTCCCCACTGCTTACTGCATTTGCAATTTCAGTGGCTCCTTCTAACATATTGTTAAATGCCTCATTTGTTCTACAATCTTTTAAATAATTTGATAATTGTATCAACATTTTCATTATTGTAGACGCATAATTACGCCCGGTTTTTGTATTAAAATACGTACGAAAAAAATTTTTGATAATATTTGGTTCCATATAGCAAAAGAAGATATGAATTTGGAACATTTAATTTTTAATAATAATGCTTCAACTTTGTTCCTTGTATCGCTATCTTTTGATGTGTCTTCATATAACATGTATACAGCGTTATACATTTTTTCTAAATTATACTTTACAGTTTTTACAGCGTAAAACTTAGAAATTCTTCTTTTAATATTTTTCAACGATAGGCTGATTTAGAAAAAAGCTTGTACACTTCTTGAATTAACGAAAAAGAATTTTCTATTTTACATGGAACACTCGCAGCATCATTTGCAACTACTTAGATCGAGCGTAGAAGTGATACCTACATACATAAAATGTTCACGTTTTGCTCTTCACGTTTGCCCCATTATTATATGCTTGAGCACATCAACTGTAAAGACTTATATTTTTAGATTGCAAAAAGGTAAAACAAAATTTGTTAAATCTTCGTAATTGAATAAAATTCTAAAAAGTGTTCTCTGATTCTTATTTTCTTATTATCATTATCGAGGTAAACAAATCCTACAAAAATACTTAATTGATTTTCATGAGATGCGTTTGAAGTAGTGTATAAAATGAAAGCGTAATATTTACTTAATTTTAGCATTTTAATAATATTAAATCTTACTTTTTCTCCTATTATCGAAATTATTTTATTTTGAATTTTGCCACCTAAATAATGTGACATTTTGTTCGTGCCGAATTGTATTCCACTTATATGTTCTACCTTACCGTTACTACCTTCGAAAAGTTTGTTACTGCTAAAAGTTGAACTGTATCAATAATACTTTTTATTATCGATTTCTAACTATTTTTCTAGGTTTATTAATTGTTGATTTAACGCCTCTATTGTATTATTACTTACGTATTATGACTTTTTTTCAATCGATTCATGATGTGTAAAACTATAGTTTCCTTTAAATCGGAGCTTTTCTACCGCCGCGATTCAGGAATCATAGTGGGAAAGCAGCCTAATATTTCATGTGTGATTCACTCGTTTCATGACGCTCTAATGTTCTCGATAAATATGCCAATCGCAATAACCAGTTACATCATTGAACGCATTAATTAATTATCGTTAAACAGTTTACAAGGAAAAGGAAAAGGAATTTTTGCATTTAGTTAGAAACTCAACATTATGTACTTCTTTTGGCCCAAAATCTGTTAGAATCATTTTATCATTATCTCATATTTTTAACACGTTGACTGTCGTATGAATCAAATATGATTTACACCACATTTCTTCACGTATGTGCAAATTACAAAATGTGGTGGTCGAGGGATTAAAATTTTGTTTAACATTACGGCGTTAAACGTAATTAAAAGCCACTTTCTTCGATCATCAAACTCATACCTAGATATACAATTCATAAGAGCATTTTCAGTTGTTATATTGCACTCGCGTTCGTCATCTGCTTCTTCCGGTAAGCATCGTTTTTTACCAGCTACACGATCTTCAATTGAATGTGCGACAGAAGAAGAATCTTCAAAATTTTCTTGAGCAACCGAAGACTTATCTGTACATGAAGATTTAGATGCAAAATAATTAGAAATAGGAGTCATAAATTTCTTTACATTTTCTTCTTTCCGTGCTCTTCCCTTTCTATATTCTGCCCTGGAAAGTTTTTCTCTTCTGTCTGATACCTAAAAGTGAAAGTTATTAATATTATATTAATTAAATTTTAAGATATAGGATGTATCATGAAATGAATATTATTACTATGGAGAAGTGAATCTACTGGTCGTTTGAATGATTGAACGATTGGTTTCGAATCGACTGTTGGTGTCCGAATGATCGGTTCGAATGTTCTCGTTTCGGACGACCGCTTTGGGATTGTATAATATGTTCGGTCACAACGTATACAACGGATTTCGATTAAAAGACTCGTCGCGTTAATAACTTCGTACAAAGAACCAGTTATAATCGCGTGTTCCGAATTTAATTTTTTCAAGTTCCCGAGGTATTCGAATTCATCGAAAATGAAATAACACGCAATGCCGTACATGTTCTTCAGTAGATTGATAGTCCGCCATTTTGTTTCAGGATAATCTTTTTTTATTGTTTTTGTATAAAAAATATAAATTCACATTAAAACTTTGCAAAATACCATAAAAACCTTATCCTCACTGATAAATATATTTAAGTCTAATAATTTGCTTTTGCGAAGTTGGTCTACATTATTAGACCATTCTGTCCTACGGAACCAATTTCATAAAGAAGGATTAGACTATTAAGTTTGAAAATATAGATAGCAACATTTTTCTCGAACTCTTAAAATAGTATTTTTGATACGTAGTTAGGATGCCTCACAAAAATACTCGAACGTTTACATTTACAATATTGCGGGAATGGATGTATTCGAGTGTGAGAATGGATGTATCGATGAGTGATGAACGTGTGTGCAATAGATGAATGACGCGACTGTGTGTGCATGCGTGCGTGCGCGTTTTGAGTAAATGTCCAAGGCATTGGAATATTCTAGACCAAACTAATGATGTTCGTTTTTAATGAATCTAGAATATTCCAAATGTACGTGAAGTTAATGCATGGCAATAAAAGAATGTTCTAACAAGTATGCGAGTGGGATGAGAGCACCCGAGTGTGTATATATTGTGCGCGTGGTTTGATTTGGGATGATTCTCTTAGTGTAAGTCGTGAAGAAAACATATTGTTTTAATCAAATATTCGCTTTCTCCTACAATATTTAATAAGGAAATATGTATATTGAACTACCGAATATGTTTAAAATAATACGCCATGTTTAGTGGAAGAAACGTTTCAAGATTATTTCAATAAACTAAGAAACAATATAAGTCATCATAGGCAGTAATTACAGTTCATTTAGTATAAGCACACCTTACGGTGGGTCACAACAGCATTCATATGCATCCATTATCATTTACATATATACCACTTTCATATATTGTACGTTATCTTGTGCTAATATGCAGTTGTTTTCATGATTCTCTATTCTAATAATATACATACTGTTCGCCTCTTCTGAGCGTAGCGCCGACGTAAGACGAAACTATAATATAAAGAATTTTGTTTTCTATCGTTACGTTTCACTTCATCACATTCGGTCTTGCTTCGCTGAGAAGAAGAGACCCCTTGCCCCTGTACACTTTTAAATCTAAGATCGGCGCTACTCATTTCACAACAGTAGATTAAATTTTTAACTAATCACTATTCTAAGTAATCAATTTTTTCTGTTTTTTCTTTCGCATGCAAATTATATACATATGTTTAAGATAAGTAAATAAATAAATGTTAATTATAATTATTAATATAAATAAATAAAAATTATTAAGTTTATTAAAAAGATAAAATAGTCATTTTATTACAGTTTAATTCAATATCATAAGTCACACATACTCTGTGTTTGACCCGCATAGTAGTCATCGTTTCATTTTTGTAAATCGATTTAGGTACATACGCACTTCTTACAGCGTTACCACAGCTTAACTTGTTAACACAAAATAATGAGACATTCTTTGAAATTCATAATTGTTGTACATTTTGAAAAATTAAATGAAGTATCGTAACGTATCGAAAAATGTAAATACAGAAATGTTAGTCTACGAACGTTTGGCTGAAAAGTGGACTGTTGCGAATGGAAACGCATGAAACAAACTCAAATAAATGTGATGTGGTCAACTGTGTTTCGTCAACTACCAGCAGTTCACTTCAAAGACTTAGAAAAAAAGAACTAGTAAAAGAAAAGAAATAGTAAAAACAATGAAAGTGTCTCGTAGTACGATATAATACACTTATATGGAAAATATTTAAGAAAGACAAAATAATTTTAAATAAGTCACGACTAGGAAGATCAAAACTGCTGACAAATCTTGATGACAGGAGTATTGAGAGCTGTTAAGCAGTATACAGTGGACCGTTATAATATTCGGATACCGTAGTACTATTCGCTTCTCACGTTACAGCCAGTAGCCTAATGCTAGCCGAACCGCGGGACGAAGAAATCAAGCGGCCAAACCATCGAACTGCCACTGACCCGCGCATTACACACACACAAAGGTCGCACACTTTGTCGGACGTTCACAGAACCATACAAAATCGGAATCGGCGTTACGCCGATCGGTTTATACTTCACATAACTAATAAAAGAGTTTGGCAAATACCAAATGTAAAATACCGAAAACAGAATTTAATAACAACGGAGAAGCGTCTTTCTTGATGTGAGGTTAAATGTCGACGGTTGAGGTTAGTAATTATCACATCATGAAGATACCGTAAATCGTCAGGTGTACTTATGTAAGTACCTAAATATGTTAAAGCACTATTCATGTGTGCATCTATATCACGCTTCAGTACCAACTATTGAAAAACTAAGTGTAAAAAATAACTTCATGTTTCAACAAGGTAACGACTCGAAGAATAAAATCTAAACCGTTAGAGAATGGATACTTTATAATGCGCCACATTATTTGGAAATATATTACCACAGTTATCAGACAGGAATCCCATTGAATACATGTGGACAGAAATAAACAAAATTTATAAAATACTGTCCAAAATCCTAAAGAATTAAAACAACGATTCGTGCAGTTCCGGCTACATTGCGTTGCATTGAAAAGAAACAATCGTTGGTATTGAAAATTACTACTGGTTTCTTAGGCTTCTTTTAACTATTACCACATCCCAACCAAAAAAGAAATTTGTATCGTAACTTTTTCCAACAATTTCTGCAAGTAATATGTCTGGTTTTTAAAATTAATCGAAAAATATCCACAAAAACTGATACGTTTCAGATGCTGTTTTGCCTTTGAGCATTCTTTAAACATGTTTATATGTTTAGTATGTTACAAAAACATACATCATTATGTTCTGGAAGGTTCATGAAATAATATTTTGTAAGAAGTTGAAAATTTGAATTTTTCTTTAAAATTGATTTTTTCAAAAACTGATGGTGAAAAAAAGATTGCATATTTGAATTTAACATAAGAAATACTATTAAGATATTCCGTTAAATATTTTGAGGCAAAAATCATGTTGAACAATGTAATCATTGGGGTGGTTAAGGGTACTGTGAATAAGTAGACAATAATTCATCACACATAAAATTTATTTATAATGAAGTGGTAATTGAAGTGGTGACTGGCATAGACAAAAGTACATACATATCGCGGGAAACTGACTGACTTTTGTGCTTCTTTTTTGGCTTCCCTTGGGTAATTGATATACAGTATATACTTATTTATGGACAATGTTCTTATATCTGCACAAAGTCTGTTAGATTATAATTGGTTTAGTGGGCTTAAGTGATTATATGTTCAGAAATAACAATATAGTATATATAGGAGGAGTTCAAAAATATCTATGTTTATGTGTAAGTTTCCTTATGCGCGGGTAGGTTTGTATGTTTATGTTTGGAGTGTTTTGACAGTTTTACCTTAATATTGAAGGGGAGATCTTCTGTGTTGCAATTTCTTGTTTGGTTGATTAATGGAATTGGATGGGTGTAATTATATGCGTTAGGAATTGAAGAGATTATGTATTCTTTTATGGATGAGATTTTAACTGTTGTGTCCTATGGTTTATTTTGTATTATTCTTAGGAATTTATTGTGTATGATTTGGGCTTTGTTTATATGGGATGCTGAGGCTGCTGCCCAGATTTGATGACCATATATTATGATGGTCTGGATACACACCAGGTATAGAATGATTTTGAGGCGTGTGGATAGTTTGTCTCCTTGGCAGATAAGTGGGTATAGTCTTTTAAGGGCAGGGTAAACTAAATTTGATCTACTAATAATTACTTGTCTCTGTGTAAACTAGTACTAAAATACTAATTGTCTGGAAAAGATTATTGATTCTGTTTTGGTGGGATTTATTTTGATTTTCCAGGTATTGTAGAATTCCGAGTAATTTGAAGTAAGTATTATTGTCTGTTGGATCTGTTTGTGTGTTTGGTGAGGTTTCTTAGAGTTGGATCATTGAATTCTTTCTTCCTTATTTCTAAGGTATTTGTGGTTTTTATTTTATGAAATATTTGTTGCATAGGTGTGAGTATTTTTTTCATTTTGTGATTTCATATGGGTATCTGGTGACAGGTGTAGAGATTGTATTATATGTGAGGAGTATGTAGAGATGATTCGATGTGAGATTGTCTATGGTAGTGCATGTGCAATCGTATGGTATGTTTAACAGAAATATGTCTGTATTTGAGGAGTGTTCTTTGGGTTGCTAGTAGGTGTAGGTGAGGCTGTATAGGCTGTTGTAGTTGTTTCTATCCACTGTATTTTATGAATGGTGCCAGATGAGTTGTTAGATCTGTTATTCTAGGTCTCATATTTTGTCCTACCAAGAAGTATTTGGAGGTGTTTGAGTTGGAAATTGTGTCTAGGTCAGTGTTGATCAATTCATTTGATAGAGAGAATATAGGGATCCTAGTTGGAATTCAGGAATTTTGGGTTGCAAGCTGGTAGCATTCCAAAGAAGGATGTTTAGAGAAAAGATGGGTGAGTTAGTTATCGAACTGCTTGATTATTAGAATTGTAGCTTTGATTCTGTCCATGTTATTTGTGCAATTCAAGTAGTGGATTTGAATGAGGTCCAATATTCTTAAGAAAAGTTTTAGATCTGCTTTTTTTAGCTCGTTTAGCCTGACGTTTAAGTTGTCGTTCTGCCGTTGTGTTGGGTGTACGTTTATGTATTGTAGGGTAGGTTTTGGGGGTAGAGCTGTAATGGTTTGGGGGTTGAATAGTTGGTGCTGTCTTAGGGAAGGAAATTCTTTGAGTTGTGGGGTTGTGGAGATTTTTGGTGTTCGTTTGTCCTGAGGTAGAGTTTTGTTCCTTTTGTGGAGGATGTCTATAAGGGTGCACAGTGGCCGATTTGGCCGTTTTAGTCGCCCAAAATTAAAGGCACACATATTATTAATTATAATCTTTAATTAACTGCATATTTAACTAACTTCTTACCTTGCAATAGGTAATAATATATGGTTACAATAAATTATATAATATATAAATAGGTTAATACATATTAACTATACGAGCATACGCGACCGCACCCGGGCGTTCGAACGCTTCGTGTCACGCTTTAGGAAGAATACTCTAAAAATAGAAAGAGAAAATATGAGCAAACAATTTTTTGTGCATAATAAATACAAACTTTTGTCGAATCTGATATTGCTTGAAAGAAGGTTGGATCTCACAGGATATCATCATAAAATTATTCATGAAGTGTTACAGCTGTAAGAAATATTATTGATTATAAAATACGCTTAAATGTAAATAATAACACAAAGATACATAATAAATGAAGAAATAAATGAATCGCCTACTATCAAAAGTACAGTAAGTATTTACTTGAGAAACTTTCATTTTGGGAAAAAGTATGCACAATTTCTTTGTGACACACAAAAATATTTTAAAGAATTAGAAGAGCAAATCGTGCGCAACGAAAACTCTCAACTTTTGACAAAGCACGCGAGTTTATGAATGCACAAATGAAAAAAAATGGTACCTACTTGTTCACACATTCAACTATCTTGGGGAGCAAAAATTTTACAGCTTAGGCGAAATTTTTGAAATTGACTTTCGGCCGCCTAAAATGACCAAATTGGTCACTGTGAGTCGGTTTTGATGGTTGACCAAACGTATCGTTGGGACACGAGCTTGGTTATTGCATTGATTCCGGCGTGTGAAAGTCCATGTAATGCATTAAACGCTGCTCCATGAGAAAAGAGAGTAAACAATGGCCTAACAAATTCCGTGGATACATCATAGTATAACTTTTTATTTAAGCCCGGTATTGATATTTGTTTTAAAATTAGTCCCGTATCTCCCTAAAAAAAAGACAATAATCTGTCATCTATTGCCTGAGTGGTAGCTAGTGCATTAAAATTTATTTTTTATTGCACAGTATCAATTCGAGGTAATGTATCAGGAACAACATTATTACGACCATCTATATGCTGAATGTCTGTGGTAAATTCAGTAACAAGTCTCAGGTATCTAATTTCTTTTGGTGTGTATTTGTCGGACTGGCTATATAGTGTGAAAATTAGCGGCCTATTGTCGGCGTGTATGGTAAAATGTCTTCCTTCTAATAAATGCTTAAAGTATTTAATAGATTTATATATCGCTAAAAGTTCGCAGACAAAAGCTAAAAATCTTTGTTCTGTCGGAAATAATTTTGTTGAAAAAAACGATAGAGGTACCCAATTTTCACTGTGGCGTTGATGCAATGCCGCATCGACCATAAGTGTGTTCAGTTTTTCCAAATTGTTTTATTGAGAATTACTGTTTAGAGAGGTTGGTTTCTTTAATGATGTGTTTTAGGTTGATGATCTCTATGTCATTAACATATATCAGAGGTGAATTCTTTATATCCGATGTCCGATCCATGATTGCCTAGCCGCAATACGCAGCACACGTGTTCCCACTCAATCTACGTTCTCTCTTCTATCATATCGAGATGAGGCGTGTTGGAGGCTTCTTCAGTCTCCGTGTTTATGTTTTATTATACAGCGTATGTATTTGCATGCGTGATGTCATTTTTCTTTGTTGAAATGTCAGTGACAGGGCGTTTCTTGCAAGTTTTCTTGGGGTGTGTCCATTCGTTCGAATTCGAGGATGGGGGATTATTTTCGCCATTGGTGAGGGATGTTGATACAGGCTTTCTTTTATTGGTTAGGTTTAGAATCACATTGGATGGGTATTTGTTATATTCTTTTAATGCCGCTCTGTATAATTTTTCGAAGGTATTGTACTTAATGATATTACGGTGTGCGTATCTTTGGGTTGACGTATGTGTGAGAGTTTGTGGGGTGTTTTCTGTGCTTAACCTTTTAACTACGACGGGATTAGTCGCAAAGCTATGTCTCTGTATGGCAAGGTTTGACACGGTTTACATATAATAAATGTAATATCACTGCGATTTGAGACTGATACAATTTTCCACTGTGTAATTATGTTAAATTAGATTCTAATATGCACAATTATCGATGACAGAGAAAGAATTGTGTCGCTATAGTGACGTACCGTTCAAAAAGATCATATCCGCGAAAGCTACTATGGTGGCACGTTGTACCTACGAGGTTAAAGAAGAATTTTCGTATCTGCTGTCGGAAATATTTGTTGTTGCGCTCTCGTCATCCCTGGAGGTCATTGTGCATTTGGCCGGATGAGGGAGAGGCACATCAGCAGTTTCGGTTTGGCTTCGGTACGCTTTTGTGCACGGTTTTACAATTTTCACACGTGTAAGGTACGTCATCCTAACCTTAAAATGTGTTCGCGTCGTTCCGCAGTGAATTGTCTAATTCTTCAAACTTATGCTGAACTATGTATTTTCGCACTATTTGAATTGATTTATGTGAGTGAATATCGGTAGAATGTGTGCTCGTCTCGACACCATCTACCGGCCTCCCGTGTCGCAGACGGGAATGCTGACCACTTCTTTTTTCTCTAACAAGTATATTTATTGTGCCGATATAAATAATATTTACAGTCGCACAATAAACCAAATATACAAAAACGGATAACAAAAATGACTCAAAATGTTTCTATAGAGTAAATTCTACTAATACACTACACTTACACTATGTGTAGAAAAGGCATAAAAACTATACAAACGAGCGGGAATCGAACTCCGGTCTCTCGCGTGACAGGCGGGGATACTGACCACTTTCTTTTGTAACAGTATGTTTATTGTGCCGATAAATAATATTTACAAAATAGTACAATAAACCTAAACATACAAAAAAAGGATAACAGAAAAATATGGGGTTATTTACAAAGATCTAAGGCTCAAACATTGAGCACGCACAATCTGGTCGCTATATACATGGGAACTGCACTTAATGCTACAGGTGATATTTACAAAGTTGGGTACTTATACGCTAAAAATAATTAAATATGTATAGCAACGGCACAGGTAGGACTATAC